TTCTTCTTCTTCTTCTTCTTCTTCTTCTTCTTCTTCTTCTTCTTCTTCTTCTTCTTCTTCTTCTTCTTCTTCTTCTTCTTCTTCTTCTTCTTCTTCTTATGCCAGTACTCAGGGTGGGAGCCTGAAGCATCCAGCGTCCTTTCCTCATTGCTTTTATTTTTAAACTGGAATTGGGAAAACACAAAGGACAACCAGGCTGAAAAACGAAACGGCACTTACAAAAGGCCTGACATACAATTTGGTGGTGGTGGAGAACGCTGTCAAGTTGTAGTCGGTTTTTGGCGGCCCTGTCGGGTTTTCAAAGCAAGAGTCGCTCAGAGGTGGTTCGCCACACCCCCTGCCTCTGCGCAGCAACCCTGGACTTCCTTGGAGGTCTCCCATCCAAGTACCAACCAGGGCCGACCCTGCTTGGCTTCTGAGATCTGGTGAGATCGGGCTGTCCTGGGCCATCCTGGCCAGAGCATGTAAAATCGTACCAAATTTCCATAGAAAGGAGGAAAGTTTGCCGAGAATCCCATTCCTAGGGAACATTCTTCTTGAATTCAGAATGTCACTTGTACTGTCTTTTGATTCCTCCGAGGGACTTTAGGTGCCTACCTTTTGGCTGAAAAGCATGATGAAAGTATAATTACCCCTCTCATTGGCAGATGGGGAGGGGCTTGTAGCTGAGAGAGGCTGACTTTGCTAAGGCCACGTAATGAGTTCGTGGCAGGGATGGGATTTGAACCAGGTACATTCTGGATCTCAGCTCGTGGGGGGCTTAGGAAAAGGGCATATGCTTTGTACAAAAAAGCCTGGCATCCCCAAGTACAGGGTGCTGTGAGATAACCCTCCTTTTCTGAAATCCTGGACAGAATAGATGACGAGAGGTCTGCCTCTGTACAGCACAGTTTCTGAACCGTTTCCACCATATATTCCTCAAAAATGTTGCCTTGGCACTTGTGCACACATGTGTTTGTGTTTTTTAATTTTCCCCTAGGCGTGCCAAGCCTTCCTCCTCCGCTGCAGGTGCTCCACTGTAGCCAAACCGTGTACGGATGCTGTCCGGATAACGTGACCTTGGCCCTCGGGGTCGGCTCCGCCGGGTGCCCAAGTGAGTTTTATTCGGGCCTCCTTTTCTCTTGACGCTGCAGGATTTTCAAGCTTTGGTATAGCAGAGCCTCCCCGTGTCAGGAAAAAGGGAGCGGGGGCAGAGGAATCCGAAATGAGCGTTTTCCAACCCAGAGCCCCCCGCCTAAGCAGCACGGCTTGACTAGGGAGGCCAGCCTCCGGGTGGGGCCTGGGGACCCCCCGGAATTACAGCTCATCTCCAGACTACAGAGATCAGTTCCCCTGGAGGAAAAGGATGCTTTGGAGGGTGGACTCTGGGGCACCGTGCCCCACTGGGGTCCCTGTCCTCCCCAGGCTCCACCCCCAAATCTCCAGGAATTTCCCAGCCTGGAGCTGGCAACCCTGCCCCCCATCCCCTGTTGCCCCCCACACACACACACACACCCCAATGTGGTAACAGCGGGACTATGACATCTTGTGATTTTTACATTATACCTCTGATGCTGCACCCCAAGATCCCATGAGCCTTTTTTGCCGCTGCAGATCTTACGATCAAGCTCAGATTTGGGGCAAGCCAGTACAGGATGGACCGAACACAGTCGCTTTTTAGGTATCGGTGAACACAGCGATGCGTCGGAAGCAGGGCTTTTTTTGTAGAAAAAAGCCCAGCAGGAACTCATTAGCATAATAGGCCACACCCAACAGCAGACACTCATTAGCATATTAGGCCACACCCTTGACAGCACAGCACATTAGCATATTAGGCTACGCCCCCATGTTACCAGAAGTGTGCTCATCCAGCCACACCCACCTTTTGCTTCTTATTCTGTTTACCTTGTTTGTTGTCAAAACCCAGAGGGGTTTTTTGTAGCAGGAACTCCTTTGCATGTTAGGCCACACACCCCTAATGTAGCCAATCCTAATGAGTTTCTGCTGTTGGGTGTGGCCTATTATGCTAATGAGTTCCTGCTGGGTGTGGCCAACTCAGGAGCCAGCTGGAACTCCGTTCCTGTGCGTTCCTGCCCAAAAATAGCCCTGGTAGGAAAGAATTCCCACTCCCCACCCCCAGCTTTGTCCAGCACAAATCCCCATCACGGGGCACCTTCTTTGTAGCAGCCAGCTGCGCCAGTGGAGGCTTTATTAATATTTTATTTAAGAATTAGACAAAGTCGTCTCTTTAACCTAACGAGATGGGGAGAACATTAGCGACAGTTTCAGCAGCTGAGGCCGGCCGCCAGATGGTTAGCGAACGCCCATTAGGCGATGCCGATCCGCCGGGCCGTTCTCGGTAAGCGTGCCGGAGTAATGCAGCCCTTGATGGGGGACGTAGAGCCATTTCATGCGCCGTATAATTTAATAAGAGGCAACGTTCCAAAAGCAGCTTTAATCACTTGGGAGGTCCTGGGGTCGGGGAGCCGCTGAGGTCACCGTTCTAGTAGCGGAGAGGACAGTTGGCGTATCTGACTATGGCGTCTTCAAGAGCCACCGTGGTAGAGTGGCTACGAGTCTCAGCAGAGTTTGGTTGGAGCCTCGCCTCTGCCGTCATTTGCCGTTACTGATGCTCTCTGCCATTAGTGGCGCTGTCTGCCCTCAGTGACCCCTTCACTGAATGGAGAACGGCTCTGTCTGCCGCTAACTAACCATCTCATTGAATGTATGGTTCCTCCAAAGGGTTCAGGGCAGCATGCGTGGCTTCTCCCCTTTCAGCACACAACAACCCCAGGAGGGAAGGTTAGGCTGAGAGAAGCTGAGTATCTCAAGATCGCCCAGCTGACTTCCTGGTTGTGCAGGGATTTGAATGTTTGTCACCCTCGGCCAAATAGAACACCGTAGCCGGTAGACGACACTGTCTGTTACGCGTGTGGCAAAATTATTTAATAATATAGTCTCTGATGAACCTTGGCCTACACAGTTTCGTGTGCATGGTTTTTGTTCTTCTGCTGTTGCAACATACAATCACATGACCTAGCGGGACACAGGGCTCAGCACTGCAAGAACATCAGAAGGACTCTGCTGGAACAGACCAGGGGCTCATCTAGTCCAGTGTCCTGTCTCACACAGTGGCCAACCAGCTCCTCTGCTGGTCATACAGCAGGGCATAGAGGCCAAGGCCTTCATGAGAATACCAGAAGAGCCCTGCTGGATCAGAGCAGTGGACCATCTAGTCTAGCATCCTGTCTCACCCAGTGGCCAGTCAGTTCCTCTGGAAGTCCAACAGCAGGGCACAGAGGCCGAGGCCTTCAGAATAACATCAGAAGAGCCCTGCTGGAACAGACCAGGGATTCATCTAGTCCAGCGTCCCGTCTCACACAGTGGCCATCCAGTTCATCTAGAGGGCAAACAGTAGGGCATAGAGGCCGAGGCCTTCATCGGAATATCAGAAGAGCCCTGCTGGATCAGACCAGTGGCCCATCGAGTCCAGCATCCCGTCTCACACAGTGGCCAACCAGTTCCTCTGGAGGGCCAACAATAAGGCCTAGAGACCAAGGCCTTCCCCTGTCTGGTACTGGTATTGAGAGGCTGACTGCCTCTGAACATGGAGGTTCCATCCTGAGGCTGTCTGCTGATATTTTGAAAAAGGAAAAAAAAAAGGTTTTTAAAAGATTTGTAAGAGATCGGGCTAGCCTGGGCCATCCAGTTCAGAGCAGTAGGATTGTAGTCCAGTGCAATAGTTCTCGTAGGAATCAGCCATTTTTGCTGCATCGTTTTCAGCCTTCGCTTTCCGTATCGATCACAGTAGATCGTGCTTGAGATAGTTCCTTGTTCCCAGGGCTTTTTTTTGTAGAAAAAGCCCAGCAGGAACTCATTAGCATAATAGACCACACCCCAAAGCAGAAACTCATTAGCATGTTAGGTCACACCCCATGGCTTCCCTTGGCTTGCCTGGGTGCCCCACAGCTACAGGGCGCCTGGGCAAGCCCCCCCTTAAAGGGAAGGCAGTTTAAACGGCCTTCCCTTGGCTTGTCCAGGCACCTCACGGCTGCGGGGACCCTGGGCAAGCCGGCCCTTGGACAGGCCCAGGGAGGCATTTAAATGCCTCCCCGATCCTTCCAGGGGCCCCCCGGCCGGCCGGCCTCGGAGTCGCCGGGGGGGGGGGTTGCTCTCTAGGCCTTCCCTCTCTAGCCACGCACATGCAGAGGTTTTGGCTGTAGTGGGCGTGGCCAACTCTGAAGCCAGACGGAACTCCGTTCCTGTGCGTTCCTGCCCAAAAATAGCCCTGGTTGTTCCCATTATTCTCTAATTCTGTAATCCTAGTCCAACTGCGTTGTTCATTGGCTGTTTTACAATGTCTGTTTGCACTGTTTTATACCCTATGATCTGCTTTGAGTCTCGGCCAGGAAGGCGGACTATAAATACAAAAAACCCAAATAAATGGAACAGATGGTTTTGAAACGGGATTCAACAAACCCGTGGAGGAGAGGTCAGTCAACAGTTATTGGCTGCAACATTGAAATGAAACCTCCATGGTCAGAGGCAGTCTATCCCAATACCATTTGCTGCTGGGGGACACACCATAGGCGGAGGGCTGTTAATCTCAAGCCCTGCATACGGGCTTCCAGGAAACGTGTGGCTGGCTTCTGCTGGAAACGAGAAAATGGGATTAAATGGGCCTCTGGTTTGATCCGGCAGAGATTGTCCTGGTCTTATGGCATACGACAATAAATAAAGTATTTCCCTTTGTCTAGCAGGCCGGCCATCCCGGTTTGCGTCCCCTCTAAATTCTGCCTTGCCCGGCCTTGAATCAAACCTCTCTTTAGTCTGTGTCCTGCTCATGCCCTTGCGTCCACAGCGAGGGTGTAAATCAAGATGTAATCACCAGCCTGCAAGCCATTCTGCCTGCCGGGCAGTCTCAGATTTATTCCCTTCTGCTAGGAAAGGGGGACACACTTGACAGCCTTGTTTTAGCCAGGTCTGCCTTTCCGGTCCCGGTGAGATCAGGAAGCTGGAATTGTGCAGGCCCCGCCCAAAATGGTGCCGGGGAGAGATCTCTGGGATGTGTTTCCTGTCCTCGTTCTTCTAGGGACCAAATGATGTTGTATCTGCTCCCATGGAGGAACAGTTTGGGGAGGTTTAGTTTGAAAAATGTGAAGAGTCCCCTAAAAACCATGTGCTGTTTTCTTTCAGCACTGTTGCCGTTGTTATGGAGAGTTGGTGCTGGGCATAGAATGATTCAGGTTTCAGAGGGCAGCTGTCTTGGTCTGCAGTAGAACATTTATTATTATTGATCGTATGGCAACAGTGATTATGTAGTGTGGGCGGGAGATCTTATGATTGTCCGGCAGCCAAAAGTTCTAGCTCTTTAGCGTTACCCAGGGTGCACCATGAGGAGGCAGCTAGATTTGAGTCCCATAGCATCTTTGAGACTAAGGCTTTCAAGGTATAAGATACCTGACAGCTGCCGGACGAAGGGAGCTTTGTCTCTCAAAAGCCTCTGCCCTGAAAATCTTTTTTGGCCTCCTAGGTGCTACTGAGCTCAAATCAAAATGATTCAAATCGACTAGTTTGCCCCTTCCTGGGACCACCCACAGATTGCTGCCAGAATTACTCTGTAGCCGTTGTCTTGATTTGCAAGGAGGACATAGAAAGCACGTTTCCATCCTGAGCCGTTGTTTCTTTGACCATTCCCCCGCCCCCCCTCTCTCTCTCGCAGGCACCTGCCACTGCAACCCCTATGGCTCCTATGGAGGCGGATGTGACCCTGCCACAGGACAGTGCTCCTGCAAACCCGGTGTGGGGGGCCTGAAATGCGACCGGTGTGAGCCCGGCTTCTGGAACTTCCGTGGTATCGTCACCGACAGGCGGAGCGGCTGTACCCGTGAGTACCCGTGAATACCAACCTTTGGGAGGGCTTGAGAGGTGGATGGGACAGGATCAGTGTCTGGTCTGGGTCCAGCTTACCTGAGGGACCGCCTTTCCTCATATGTTCCCCCACGAGCACTTCGGTCGGGGACGCAACACCTCCTGGCAATGCCAGGCCCTAAGGAGGCCAGGCTGGTCGCTACCAGGGCCAGGGCTTTCTCGGTGGTGGCTCCTACCTGGTGGAATGAGCTCCCGGAGGAGATCCGGGCCCTGCGGGACCTTGTGCAGTTCCGCAGGGCCTGTAAGACGGAGCTCTTCCACCAGGCGTATGAGCCGCCACTACCATTATTATGATTCCATCTTCACCTGGCCCTGGATGAGGGAACATCAGCATTTCCCTGGAGCAGATGATGCTGAACAGTTGAAATACGCCATCTATGAAATATCTCATTGAACATCTAGAGCACTTTAGTTAAGAACTTGTAAATAATAATTTTGTACTGTTGGGATTTTAAATGGTTTTAAATATGTTTTATATTGGCGTTTGCCTCCATGTAAGCTGCCCTGAGCCCGCATTGCGGGGAGGGTGGGGTATAAATTGAATTAAATAAATAAATAATCTGGACAGAACCCATTAACGGTCCTGCTTTGCAGCAGCAAAGCAGTTCAGGAGGAGAAGGTGGATCAGTGATAAGCAAGTGGCTGGGCCCTTGTTACAGGACGCTGCCAGCTAAAACTAGAGATGGGAGCGGCAGGCAGTTCCATCTGGGAGACTCACATAAACAGACAATCAGGCAGGGCCTGTCCGGTGCAGTTGGCTCTCAGGTTGGCTGACTCCTTGGCCTCTTCTTCCAGAGAGCCAGTTTGGTGTCGTGGTTAAGAGCATGGACTCTAATCTGGGAGAACTCGGTTTGATTCCCCACTCCTCCACATGCAGCTGCTGGTGTGGCCTTGGGTCATTCACAAGTTCTCTCAGAGCTGTTCTCTCAAGGGCAGTTCTCGAAAGAGCTCTCTCAGCCCCACATACCTCGCAGGGTTTTGTGGGGGGGGGGGGGGGGGAAAGGGGTTGATAGCATAATTTCTTCTTCTTCTTCTTCTTCTTCTTCTTCTTCTTCTTCTTCTTCTTCTTCTTCTTCTTCTTCTGCATGCCAGACTTTCATCACAATCCTGCAGATGCCTTCAAAAGAGGAGAAGGGATGCTACCCCTCCCCCTGTATCCCTGGGCCACTGATTTTCAGGAGTGTTAGGCAGATTTTGTCCCCAACAGCAGCTCCCCCACACACACATCCGTGAACTAATGGCAGTCCCTTCCCTTAAGTCAAAAATATGCACTTTGGAACCCATTTCTTGCTCTTAGTGACTCCTTAGGAAGCGAGCATGCTCCGGACTCCATAGCCCAGTCTTAGCTACTTTTTCTTGATACCACTAAAGTGTGTTGGAATGTTAGAAAATTCTGGATTTGTGTATAATATATAATATATATAATATAGCCCTATCTCATCACACTCTTGGAAGCTACCCAGGGTCGGTAATTGGATGGGAGGCTGCCAAATAGGATTCTGCAGAGGAAGGCAGTGGCAAGCCCCCTCTACTTCTTACTTGCCTTGAAAGCCCCTTGCTGGGGTTGCCATTAAGTCTAAGCTAAGCAGGGTTGGTACTTGGAAGGGAGACCACCAAGGAAAGGCTCTGCAGGGGAAGTTGATGGCAAACCACCTCTGCTTCTCCCTTGCCTTGTAAGCGCCTTTGGGGGGTCTGAGTTGGGAGTTCAGTGAGGAACTGAGGAGGGATTATTGGGAATTTTATTATTGGGAGATTTCCCCCAGCACAGATCTCCCCGTCCATAACGGAGGGCTAGATATTCCATGCCCTATTGCTACTTAAACTTCTTTTTAAAAAATGCTAAGTAGTTTATATTCAGCCTCCTTTGTATGTGGTATGAAGTCATTATTCAAAGGACTATAGCAAGTCGTCAAACTTGCAAAGAGAGGTCCTTTTTGGGTTCAGCTTTTGCGAATGTATGCTGATTTAAAATGCTGCATGGATATTTAACACATGCAGAAACAGCGAGGGAAAATAGCAGAGAAATGTCAACAGGTTGGAGAAATGTTTTGAAGGAAGCAAACCCGACTGATCCTGCCACTGAACTGAGAGGGTTTAAAACACCAGATGTTAGCAGATCTATATTGGAAGCCTCGCCTGTTGGCTTCTCATAGCAGCCCTGTACAAAAACATATCCAGAAGCTGGAGAAAGTTGTCCAAACACCTTCCAGATGTTGGTGATGACCACACATAACAACCCCCTCCACTTTCCATATGTTAACAATCACTCTTTCAAATATATTCCTGATTCCCTGCATGTGTTAACAATATCCCCAGGAGAAACCTGACTTTCTCTTTTCCAGATGTTAAACACTAATCATCGGCAGATTCTAGCGTGCACTCAGCCAGATGTTAGCAGCACTCTTTACGAGACATGCTCTTGCTGGCTTCCAGATGTTAGCAGCAGTCCTGGATTTAATCTTGCCTGTTGTCTCCAGAAGTAGAGGAGAAGGAGAAGAAGAGAATAGATTGGATTTATACTCTGCCCTTCACTACCTGAGGGAGTCTCAGAGCGGCTTACAAACTCCTTCCCCTCCCCACAACAGACACCCTGTGAGGTGGGTGGGGCTGAGAGAGCTCTGACAGAAACTGCTCTCTTTCAAGGACAGCTGTGCCAGAACTATGGCTTGCCCAAGGTCATCCAGCAGGTGCAAGTGGAGGAGTGGGGAATCAAACCCGGTTACCCAGATTAGAGTCCGTGCCCTTAACCACTACACCAAACTGGTAAGCGTTAAATATTTCACATGCCCATGAACACGCAGAACAGGACTGATCCCAAAACCTGTTGCAGAGAATTGTTGCCTGATCACTTCAGCTTCCGTTTTTAAATGCCTCTAGTCCTCAGTGTTGTAGGGCTGGCTTTGAACACATGCCCAAGGCTCAGTGACTTGGGTTACCAACCTCCAGGTGGTGGCTAGAGCTCCCCTGGGATTACAATCGATCTCCAGGCAACAGAGATCAGTTCACCTGGAGAAAATGGCCGCTTTGGAAGGCGGAGTCTATGGCACTATACCCCATTGAAGTCCCTCCCAAGCCCCACCCTCCTCAGGCTCCACCCCCAAAATCTCCATGTATTTCCCAGCCTGGGCTGGCAAGCCGAGAGATTGTCTGAGATCCCAGGTGGCTTCCACATCTCTTGTTGAGAAAGGATGTTCAGAAAAGAGAGCCAGCACGTGGTAGTGGTTAGAGTGTTAGGCTAGAATCTGGGAGGACCCAGGTTCAAATCCCTCTCTGGGTGACCTTGGGCCAGTCATTCTCTCGTGGCTGAGTCTACCTCGCGGGGTTGTTATTTTGAGAATGACACAAAGGAAGTGAGTATGTTCAGGGGTCATTTCGTAGAAAAAGAGGTGCAGGAGCTCATTAGCATAACTCATTAGCATAACTTATTTGCATATGCCACACCCCCTGACATCACCGGAAGTGTGTCAGAAGGCAACACCCACCACTCAGGCTCCACTGGACTCTTTTGGATTGCTAGCTATTGGGGGGGGGGGAACGTGCAGATCTGTCCTCGCAGAGGAGGGAGAGCTTGTGCCTGAATAAAACTTGGCCTTAAAGGTGCCACTGGACTGTTTGGGGGCGGGAGGGAGCTCTGCAACGTACCTGGCTGCTTCTTGCTCTGACTGAGGGCTGCTGGGAGCAGGGGGTGGGGCTTGTTGCATGTGCCCGCCCCCTGGGCTCTTTACTGCCGGAGCTCCGCTCCTGTGCGCTCCTGCAGGAAATGACCCCTGAGTATGATACTGTGAGCTGCTTTGGATCCTATGCTGGAAAGCCAGGATATAACTGTGTAAATAAATGACAGCATAACGTAGCAGAGTGGCTAAGCGAATGAGCAGTGACCAGAGAGGGCCGTGATTCAGGCGTTGCCTCGGCCAGGAGCTCACTTAGATGGCCTTTGCCGGTCTGCAGCCTTTCCCCATCTTATGTATTTGTTTAAAGCATTCATTAGCTGCCTCTCTGCCTTGCGGAGCATGGCGGCTTACAATATAACTAAAACGACGATGATAAACACACACACACACACACACCAAAGGCCACAATTTAAAATCTCCAATTAGGACTGACAATAAATAAAAACTAAATTAGTCAAGGTAGGGCCACGGTGGCTCAGAGGTTGAGACGCTGAGTTGCAGACCGGAAGATCGGTCGCTCGGCAGTTTGAGACCCGAGTGCCGCGTGACGGAGTGAGCTCCCGTCTCTGGCCCCGGCTCCTGGCCCCAACCTAGCAGTTCGAAAGCAAGAAATTGCAAGTAGATAAATAGGCACCGCTGGGGTGGGAGGGTAACAGCGTTCTGTGTGCCTCGGCATTTAGTCATGCCGGCCACGTGACCACGAAGAAGTCTTTGGACAGCGATGGCTCTTCGGCTTGGAAACGGAGATGAGCACCGCCCCCTAGAGTCGGATTCGACTGGCTTTCAGGCAAGGGAAACCTTTAAATGAGTCAAATGCAGTTCTAAACAAAATGGTCTTTAACGGCCTCCTTAAGACTGGGTCCCTGGGAAGACTGTTCCACAATTGTGGGGCTGCCACCAAACCGGCCCTCTCTCACGTGCCTGCCAGACACGCTTCTTTGATTGGTGGGAGAGTCAGGAAGGCCTCTCTCCGTCATCTTTAATCCCCTGGCAGGAATATATGGGAGAAGACGGTCCTTCAGATACCCCAGTCGCAAGTGTCTTGCCCCTGGTGTCTCCATCTTTGCTAGTTGCCCTGACCCTCTTGGGAGAGGACAGCGTGAGCTGCTCTCTCAGGGGAACAGTCTCACCCTCATGCTCGTTAGCAGAGCCTTCTCTTCAAGGTAGGGCTGCCAAGCCGCGGCGGGGGATCCGTGTGTCTTCACAGGATCCCTGCCGCGGGGGACAGCAATACACGTTGCACCGCCGTCGCCAGGATGTGACGCTACGCGTTGCTCTGGCAACGGGACTCCAAACAGCCCCGTTGCCAGAGCGACGCGTAGCATCACATCCTGGCGACGGTGGTGCAACGCATATCGCTGTCCCCCGCGGCAGGGATCCTGTGAAGACGCACGGATCCCCTGCCGCGGCTTGGCAGCCCTCCTTCAAGGCCTGAGTTGTTTCTTCCCCCTACTGGAAGCCAGGTGCAATGCTGGCCTGGCTCATCCAAGTGCCTGGGATAGCTTAATTAACCATTCTTTGGGCTCCCAGCCAGCATTTAAGGTATAAAGATGCCTAGTTCTAGTTAAGCTCTTCGTCTCAAGGTTTGGCTAAGCTTTGCTGCGTTTGTGTGTGCGTCACAAGGCCCAGCGGATTGGAGCTGTAATGTATTCATATGCAGACATGAGTACATGCGGATATGGGTGAATCATCCCATAGGGAAGCTATGCAAAGCTTCGTCTTGGACTAGGGCTTCAAGTCCAGGACTATTGGTCCAATCACGTTCAAGCGAACGGGAAGCGGGAACGTGTATGATTGGACCTTATGCGATCAACCTGATAGGTTGTTAAATGTAAAGTAGGAGTGGCTACATTAGCCGGGAATGTTTAAATACCGAACAGTTTCTATGGACAAACTGTTCGGGCTATCAGATGTTGTACCGTGTTGGAGAAGTGAGCGTGAAGAAGAATAAACTTGAGTTTTGGCTGAAATCACTCTCTGACTCTTTGTTAAGCTCAGGACTTAACAGGAGCGTAGCCCTGAACCAGCTTTGATAACTCCGATGTGTTATTAAAGCTCTCTTCAAGTGGTTAAGACGCTGAACTGCAGGCTGTGGAAGGTCAGTAGTTCAGCAGTTCGAGACCCGAGTGTGCCGCATGATGGAGTGCGCTCCCATCTCTAGTTCCAGCTCCTGCCAACCTAGCAGTTCGAAAGCAAGGAATTGCAAGTAGATAAATAGGTACCACTTTGGTGGGAAGGTATCAGCGTTCCCTGCACCTTGGCGTTTAGTCATGCCAGCCACATGACCACGGAAATGTCTTCGGACAGCGCTGGCTCTTCGGTACCGCAACCCTAGAGTCGGATTCGACTGGCTTTCGAGCAAGGGAACCTTTACCCTTTTTACATAAGTGAACCCGGATGTCTCGTGTCAGTTCTTTGGGAACTTCTGCGAACCTAAGAGCTCCTGCCCAGAACGCGCAACCCCAAGCCATGCAGAGCTGTGAAGGACAAAACCAACACCTTGAATTGGGCTTGGGAGCGGATTGGTCGCCAGTGTCATTGCTGTAGGATTGGGGTCACACGCTCCCGGTAGCCGGCCCCCAAGTCTCCTGGCCCCACTGCCGGACCTCCTGATGGCACCTGGTATTTTTGGCCACTGTGTGACGGAGTGTTGGACTAGATGGGCCATTGGCCTGATCCAACGTTGGCTTCTCTTACGTTCTTATGTTCTTAACCAGCAGTCTAGCTGCAGCTTCCGCACACCCCTTAGACCCTCCATCTGCAGCGTGGGGAATAACAATAGCAGCCTACCGTACAGGGCTGTTGAAAAGGCGACTACGAGATCACGCAAAGCGTTTTGAACATCAAAAGCGCTCTGGAAAACATTTCTTACTGCTGCGACGCCTACCACAGTGAGGATTGCGATACCAGTGTCAGTTCTCCGGATCTGCATCGACACTCTTCCCCTGTGCAAACAAGGAAGTGAACTGCTCCCTGGGGAAGGGGGGGGGGGAGAGAAAAGGCCCTGTTAATTTCAAGCTCCATTGGAGACAAAAGCAAAAAAAATCGATAAGGTGGCAAACGGGGAGAGCGTGGAATCACCACGGGGAGGATTGTTATGTGGAAGGCATCGCGAATAACAGAGAGTACGGATTCTTTATGTGTGCGAAATTATTATAGAGACATCTCCTCTCTTTTCCCCTCCCGAGTGATGAATCTGAATTGTTCGGGGATCATCAGTTCCCCGCTGGAGAGGATTTTATCCGTCCCATTCCCCCCACACATCCCCCCCCCCTTTATCTCTGCTGGAGTAAAAGCACAGGATTGGTAACTGAAGCCTCTGGGTTTCATCCCCCGCTCTGGGAAATAGGTGTTAGCTTATTACAGGGAAAACACACGCATGAGATTGAACAGCCGCTAATAAGCGGGAGCTGAAGGACCACGCTGGAAAGCTCCTTGCTAACAGCGTCACTCGTTAAGCCCCCGGAACTGATCACTGCGGGGAGGGCTTTGGGGGCTTCTCCTCCACTCCACGCCCAGCCATCCCTTCCAGGAGAGACCTCTGCTGCCAAGGAAAGGAAGGGGTTTCGTTTTTCATTTGCAGGTTTTCAGGTTTTTACACTGTAAATGATTTATTTTATGGGTCCCGTGCTTTCTAGAGAGCCAGTTTGGTGTCGTGGTTAGGAGCGCAGGCTGTAATCTGGGAGAACCGGGTTTGATTCCCCACTCCTCCACATGCAGCTGCTGGTGTGGCCTTGGGTCAGGTACAAGTTCTCTCGGAGCTGTTCTCTCAAAGGCAGTTCTCGAGAGAGCTCTCTCAGCCCCACCTGCCTCACAGGATATCCGTTGTGGGGAGGGGAAGGGAGTTTGTAAGCCACTCTGAGGCTGTGGTCTCACACACACTAAATAATCCACTTCCAATCCACTTTCAAAGTGCACTTTCCGACTGGATTTTGCCTGTGCACACAGTAAAATCCAGTTGGAAAGTGCACTGTAAAAGTGGATTGAAAGTGGATTATTTAGTGTGTGTGACCGCAGCCTGAGACTCCTTCAAGTCATGAAGAGCAGGGTATAAATCCAATCTCCTCCTCCTCCTCCTCCTCTTCTTCTTCTTTCTTGGGCATTTACCCAGAGAGACAGCTTGGGAAGAAGAGACGGAGTCCCCAGAACAAGAAACAGGCAGGGGGACTTCTGGTTTCTGCTTTGCTTCTCATTTTAGGGAGGCAGCAGAACCAAAGAACTGCTTTGCCAGGTCACACCAGAGGTCTATCTCCCAGCTGAGCCCAACCCAGCATTTGTCAGAAGCACACTGGCAGAGCATGACATCAACAGCCTACCGTGCTATTGCTTCCTCCCAGTCACTGCTGTGCAGAGATAGACTGCTCCAGAATGAGGAGGTTCCATTTAGCTACCATGGCTAATAGCCCCTGGCAGTCTAATCCTCCACAAATGTGTCTGATCTCTTGAAAGGCATCTGACTGACTCCTGCCACCCCCTTTGTGGCTCTGCGCTCCGTTAGAGTCTGCGTGGTTAGTGCTGGACTTGGGAGAACTCGGTTCAAATCCCTGCATAGACTCAAAAGTTTCCCCTCAGGATCTCTAAACCTTGATTCCTCTTTTCATTCTGTTTCCGAAAGTTAATCTTCCTCAAGTGCCATTTCACAAGGGTTTATCAAACAGGACAGCTCATGTATTTCCCTCAAGTTCCCTCAAGTTCTAAAGCCTAAAGAAATATCTGTGACAGGGTGGGACAATTTAAGCTTATCAGACACAGAAGAAATACATGCTGCCGGCGGGCAACTCAGTCACTGAGGGGAAGTAAAATATTTTTGGCGGGAAATTCTGCCTGGCCGTTGGGAAAGAGACCAGGGTCTGTCCTAACAGACTGATCTTTGGCCAGGCGCTTTTTCTCAGCCTAACGTACCTCACAAGATTGTCGTGAGGGGCAAAAATGGGATAAGTCCAGGCCGACTGAGTAAGGACGGGGCAAGGGGCAGATTTTGAACGACGGCAATATTTATTAGTAAGTTGGCTGAGGGCCATGCTCGTTCTGACAGAAGCGAAAGCAAAGCACCCCCAGACAAGGGAGGCATCTCTACCTCCTTGGGGGACTCCTCAGACACGCAGTCAAAATATGGCTTTGTAAATGACCCAAAGAAAAACCTCCCAGACCCACCTGATGAGGTCCGTTTTAGCATGCAGCGGTTCCTACAAGTTCCTTCCTACAAGGAGCTTAGGGGTGGCATTTACTGTTCTTCCCTCCATTTTGTCCTCGCAGTGACCCTGTGAGGTCGGTCAGACCTAGAGCATTCTAACCCTTACGCTACACTGGTTGGGATCTCCTCTTCGTTTGGTGTAGTGGTTTGGAGTTCAGACTCTAATCTAGGAGAACCGGGTTTGATTCCCCACTCCTCCACATGCAGCTGCTGGTGTGACCTTGGGTCAGTTACAAGTTTTTTCCCCGGAGCTGTTCTCTCACGAGCAGTTCTCGAAAGGGCTCTCTCACCTACCTCACAGGGTGTCTGTTGTGGGGAAGGGAAGGGAAAGGAGTTTGTAAGCTGCTCTGAGACTCTGAGTGAAGGGCGGGGTATAAATCCCAATCTCTTTTTCTTCTTCTCTGTGACCTCAACCCCCTTTGCCTCCCCGTGAAGCCTGCGGCTGCGACCCCGTGGGCTCCGTGCGCGACGACTGTGAGCAGATGACTGGCCTGTGTTCCTGCAAGACCGGCATCACCGGCATGAAATGCAACCAGTGCCCCGACGGGAGCAAGCTGGGCATGTCCGGCTGCGAGAAAGGTACCAGGGGAGGGCCCGCTTGCTTCGGGTGGGTTCCGTGACCGAAAGCGGGGCCTCGGGGCTTTAAACACCAAATTTATCCCAGCGGTCGGTTCTGCCCTCTTCAGACCCTTCGGCGCCCTCCTCCTGTGCCGAAATGACATGTGAATTTGGGGCGTCGTGCGTGGAAGTCAACGGCTTTGCTCACTGCGAGTGCCCGTCCCCGCTGTGCACGGAGGGCAACATGACGAAGGTGAGTGTGTGTAGCCGGGGGAAGAATCCTTTGTGTGTGGATGCATAGAGGGAGGAAAAGGCTGCCTACAGGATTTCATCCACCCTTTATATTTCATTTGTTTTCCAAGTTTGTGTCCCGCCTTCCTACTCTTTCGAGGGCCACCAAGGCAGCTGACAATTCAAAACACATGTGATAAAATCGCTGGTTCTATATAGGCTCTTCTTAAGTTTGCTCAAGTGTTGTTCTCTGTCTCTCCTTCACACACAACCGCCTCACCAGGTCTGTGGCTCTGACGGAGTGACCTACGGCGACCAGTGCCAGCTGAAGACCATCGCATGCCGGCAAGGACAGGTCATCGAGGTGAAGCATTTGGGTCAATGCCAAGGTGGGCCTATCTCGGTGGCATCAGCCATATTGCTTCAGCAGCTGCACAGCCCGAGTGCCTTATTATTCCAACGGGTTTTCCCTGAGCAGAGCTTCTGTGTTATGGATAGGAACCCTGTCCCAGAAACTTTTATTTTATTTCAAAATTGGAATCCCACCTCATAGTCCCCAGTGGGATCCTTTAAAGGTTCACAACACAGTGAGGAATTTCAGACAGGAGATATATTCCGGTAAGGGACCGGTTCTCAAACGGGTTCTGGTCTGTCATTTCAGGCAGAACCCGTTTGAGAATCGGTTCCCTACCGAATGTATTTGCCATTTCATACACAAAAGCTTCTGTCCCTTTTAGGAACCGGGACTGAAGCGTTTTACCTGTCAACGTCTTCCGAGTAGTCTTCAGTTCCCTCTCCCGGTTCTGTTACGCTTTTTTCCCGCCGTTTTTCGCCCACGCGGGCTTTTTTTTTTTTTTTGAATGTTTGCTTTATAGCGCCATGACACTATAACGGAATAGCATTATATCAACCCCATTCAGGGGTCATTTCGTAGAAAAAGAGCTAGGGGGACTCATTAGCATAACTCATTAGCATATGCCACACACCCTGACATCACCGGAAGTGTGTCCTCCCCACAGCCGGCGGCGACCTCCAGCGGGCACCAGCAGGGAGCTCCAGGCCCCGCCCTCTTGCACCTCACCCGGGGGGATGGCGTCCCCCCGCGTCCCCCCCCAATGACCCCTGACCCCATTGGAATGCCTGGAGTGTTTTGTTATAGTGCTATAGCGCTATAGTGCTATAAAGCGAACGTTAAAAAAAAAAAAACGGAGATCGCCCGCACGGGCGAAAGATGACAGGGAAAAAGCGGTGCAGTCTGAAATGCCAAACCGCTTCTGATCTGGCTCATTTCTGGTAAGGGAAAGCCCTGTGTGAAATGACAGCCCTGTACCGGTTCACTTCAAAACGGATCATTACCGGCTTGAAACCGGGTGAAACTGGGTAATGTGAAATTCCCCAGTGTTAAACTCATGCATCTATGTATTTCATTTTGATTCTGTCTTTTCTCCAAGGAGTTCAGGATGCTCCTCATAAGAACATAAGAGTCCTGTTGGATCAGACCAGTGGTCCATCTAGTCCGGCATCCTGCCTCACACAGTGGACAACCAGTTCCTCTGGATGGCCAACAACAGGGCAGAGAGGCCGAGGCCTTCCCCTGATAAGAACATCAGAAGAGCCCTGCTGGATCAGACCAGTTGTCCATCTAGTCCAGCATCCCGTCTCACACAGTGGCCCCAACCAGTTCCTCTGGACGGCCAACAACAGGGCACAGAGGCCGAGGCCTTCCCCTGAGAAGAACATAAGAGGCCTGCTGGATCAGACCAGTGAGGGTCCATCTAGTCCAGCAGGCCAACCAGTTCCTCTGGAGGTCCAACAACAGGGCAGAGAGGCCGAGGGGTGGCATTTACTGCTGTTCTCTTCTGGCTCTGGGATTCAGAGGTTCACTGCCTCTGAACATGGAGGCTCCCCTCAGTCACCATGGCTAGTAGCCACTGATAGACCTATCCTCCATGAATCTTATCTAATCCTCTTTTAAAGCTGTTTATTCCTCTGGCCATCACGATATCCTCTGGCGGTGAATTCCAAATTTCAATCACTTTCTGTGCAAAGTAGAATTTCCTTTTGTCCGTCCTGAATGTAGTTCCCATCAGCTTCGTTGGATGCCCTTGAGTTCAAGTTATTTTGGGAGAGGGAGAAAAATTGTTGTCACGACAAGCCTTTGAGGGAAGCTAAGCTGTGAGAGAGCGCTTGATCTAAAGTCACCAGCCATTCTGGAGAAGGCTTTTAAATCTGGGTCTCCCTATTCCTTGCCCAGCACTGTAACTACTATATCACACTGGATTATGTGCCTGAATTAGTTCTGTGAAATCACACGCCCACACTAGTACTGTGGAAAAAGGAGATTTGGATTTTGAGATGGGGATATCCCTGTGAAATCCTGGGATAAAATTCCCTCAGACCAATAAAACCTGAAAATCCTGAAGTAACTCTGAGGGAATTCTCTCTCAGGATTTCAGCATGTGGGCATCCTCTTTTCAAAATCTACACCTATCTTTTAACAAATGGACACTTTGATGTTAAAACACACTATTTGAGTTTCAAAAACCATTTTTGACGCAGGGCCAGGGAAGGGAAGGAGGAAGGCACCCCTTGGGGTCTTGCAGTACCAAAGGTGAACTCATGGCCTGGCCTCTGTAATTGTCAAGAGTCAGGTTTCAGGCTTGTTGTGAAGCAGAAGAGAGCAAATGTGTGTTCTTTCAAGCCCGGATTCCTGATGAGGAAGACTAAAATGCCTATTGATTTCCGTGTGTGATTTGCAAGCCAATCTGCTGTATTAAAGTTGAGCTGGAATAAAATTGGCAGGGGAGAGCGGGGGGTCTCTCAGATTTCAAAGGAGCTTTAGAAGCTCACATATTGCAAACCAGCCAAAGACCCTTTTTTTTGTCAATCATCCCTGCTGGTAACGCTGATGAAACTCTGGTTCCTCTCGGGGGGGTGTCTTTATAAATTTTAAACTGTATATTTTTAAAAATAAAAAAGTGTTGACAGATGCTTCCCTCTATCGCAGTTTTAAGGATAGAGAACCATACATGTTTCTCCCTGTCCTATGTTATCCTCACAACAACCCTGTGAGGTAGGCTGGGGCTAAGAGAGTGGCTGGGTCGAAATCATCCAACAAGCCTCATGGGAGATTTGAACCCCAGTTTGGTGTAGTGGTTAGGAACACGGACTCTAATCTGGGAGAACCGGGTTTGATTCCCCACTCCTCCACATGCAGCTGCTGGTGTGACCTTGGGTCAATTACAAGTTCTTTCAGAGCTGTTCTCTCAAGGGCAGTTCTTGAAAGAGCTCTCTCAGCCCCACCTCCCTCACAGGGTGTCTTTTGTGGGGAGGGGAAGGGAAAGGAGATTGTAAGCCGCTCTGAGACTCCCTTGGGTAGTGAAGGGCAAGGTATAAATCTAATCTCCTCCTCCTCCTCCTTCTTCTTCCTCTTCTTCTTCATAGTTTAACATTTGAACTACCATACTACACCAACTTCCTATAAATAGCTACTAAGTAGTATACCAAAATACATGCATCTCATTTATCATTTTTAATAACTTCCCAAATGTCTGGGGCCCAAAGCACAGCAGACTTGGGAGAGAGTTCCAAAACTGAAGTGTCTCCCTAGAGAAAGTCCTGACTCTGGTGCATCCACAGAACGGGGCCTCTGAAGCTGATCTTAATAGTCGGCAGGTTCATATGTAAAAAGTTGACCCTTCAAATACCCCTGTCTCCGACAGTTCGGGGTTTTTAAGATGATAACCGGCACTTTTTCGGCCTACTTCGGCCTCTCACAGTTGCTTCTCTTCCAGAATCCATCACAGTCGTGAGCCACACCACCTCACCGACAACCACACGCCCCCTGGACTCCCTTCTCCCCCCACCTCCTCGGACTACCCCCCTCACCTTCGAGACAGCCAGGACGGCGGCCAGCTCCCGGCACTTCGAAGTCAAGGCTTCCCCTCAGAGCCACCCAGTCACGAGGAGAACAACCACCGCTCGCCCGGCCACCACTGCTTGGACGCCACACGGTGTCCGTCGGACCACCATCCGCCCCCTCTCTACGGCTCCCGTCGTCCCAGTCACCACCCAGCCAGCGTTTGTCGAATCCGGCAGCGCAGAAGGCAGCGGGGACCAAGAAATTGGCATCAGCGGAGATCAAGAAGCTAGTGGGGCAGGTTCCACTGGTGAGCAAATGTCAAGTTTATTCTTGACGGCGTTTCTCGGGTGTGCTTCTGTGGTTCGTTCTGGGCAGAGAGAAATGTTTTTTCCTGAGGTAAAACTGAAGGCTCCTTTTGACTCTTGCACTCTTAACCCAGTAAGCCAGGGGTCCCGGGCACAACGGTACCCGCTGACACTTTTTCTGATGCCTGCCCGAGCGTTCTGAGAAAGTGGGTGGGGCCGGGTGGAGCTTTTGAACAGCAGGGCTTCTGATTGGTTGCACAGATGTTTAAAAATGTTACTTTGGCAGCAGCTGCCACCACACCACAGCTACCCTTCACTGCATGACTGTGTATTGAAGAAAACATTTTAAAACAGGATTCATTTTAAAAGGCCCTGACATTCCTGTGGCAGCCATTTTGTGGCTGGCCGTGTCTCCTGAAACAGCCATTTTGCACTTGCGCCCACCACCCTGTGCCAGAATTCCAAAGGTGCCCGCAGGCTCAAAAAGGTTAGCAACACAGGCAATAAGCCTTTCTTTTAGCTTTTGTAAGGGCCAAAGCACGTTTCCACATGAGAGCCAGCTTGGTGTAGTGATGTAGGAGCACGGATTCTAAACTGGGAGAACCGGGTTTGATTCCCCACTCCTCCACATGCAGCTGCTGGTGTGACCTTGGGTCAGTCACAAGTTCTTTCAGAGCTGTTCTCTTAGGAGCAGTTCTCAGAAGAGCTCTCTCCGCTCCACCTACCTCACAGGGTGTCTGTTGTGGGAAGGGGAAGGGAATGGGTAGTGAAGAGTGGGGTATAAACCCAATCTCTTCTCTTCTTCTTCCCTTCACATGGGTACCCATTTCACATCCTAGCTGCCAGTTCACAAATTTAAGTTTCTAGTCCACATGGCTACAGAGGAAAGACTGAATGATCTTCTCATGCAGTCTGCCGGTTCTTTCCATGGCTGTTACATGGATCCTGTTGTGCAATAATCTGACTCGGGGAAATCCCAGACTGGATGTGGTAGAGTTTTAAAATGGATTTGAGAATACAAGGAACTGGTGTTTTCCTCGCTCCCCGGGGGTCACGGAAGAATTGCAGCATGACACCTTTTCCTTCCTGTTGCCGCACAGGGGACCAGGAGATGGACGAGACGGAGGTCACGGGCATTCCAACGATAGAGAGAGCCACTTGCTATAACACCCCATTGGGGTGCTGCTCCGACGGCAAGACAGCCGCTGCCGACGCAGAGGGAAGCAACTGCCCAGGTGGATCTGCTTTCTCGTTTTTATAACACCTCTGGGTGCGCCGGAAGTGCTTTCGCGACCCGGCCTAGGGACGTATTCGAACTGGTTTCCAGCCCATTTAACACTCAGGCACGCCTAAACAGTGTTCCCTCTAAGCTGAGTTAGTGTGAGCTAGCGCACAGTTCTTTAGCCTCCGGCTCACACATTTTTGTCTTAGCTCGGGAAAGAGGGCTCCAGAGCAAACTAATTGATGCAGCAGCCCAATCGCTTGCTGACAACTTTAATGCCAGTGGCTCACAAAGTAGAATTTTTGCTCACGAGACTCCACAGCTTAGAGGGGACATTGCGTCCTAACCCAGGAACTCTGGGGGCCGTAGCTTCGCATGAGGGGCACAGACTCCTCGCAAAGGATCTGCATGAAACCCACAGAGAGAGGAAGCAGTCGGCGGCTTGCAGCCCTGAGCATCTCATTCCTGGCTGTGTGCTTATCAGAGCAACAGCCAGAATGGAGAATCTCTTCTACCACCGTCTCTCTGTGCAACTCTGCTGTTTGCCTGTTCTCTTTTTAAATTAGATATTTATCCCCCCCCCCCTTCCTCCAGAGGGGTCAAGGTGGCATAACCTCTTCCTTTACCCTCACAACAGTCCTAGGAGGTAGGTTAGGCTTGAAAATAGCAACTGGTCCCAGATCACTCCACGGCCGTTAAGGCCGTGGAGTGATCTGGGACCAGTTGCTATTTCCAGATGAGTTCCTGTTTTCAGATAGCTGACTGAGGATTTGAGAGAGGTCTCCCAGACCCACTGTGCGTGCTGTCTCTCCTAGCGTGAAGGGTTGGAACACTTTCCCTATGAGGAAAGGTTAAAGCGCTTAGGGCTCTTTAGCTTGGAGAAAAGACGACTGAGGGGTGACATGATCGAGGTTTATAAGATTATGCATGGGAAAGAGCAGGTAAAGAAAGAGGTACTTTTCTCCCTTTCTCACAATACAAGAACTCGTGGGCACTCCATGAAACTGCAGAGCGGTCGGGTTAGAACGGATAAAAGGAAGTACTTCTTCACCCAAAGAGTGATTAACACATGGAATTCACTGCCACAGGAAGTGGTGGGAGCTACAAGCATGGACGGCTTCAAAAGGGAATTAGATAAGCATATGGAGCAGAGGTCCATCAGTGGCTATTAGCCACAAGGTATAGCTAGGGGCTCTGGGGCAAGTGATGCTCTGTCTTCTTGGTGCTTGGGGGGGGTCAACAGTGGGAGGGCTTCTAATGTCCTGGCCCCACTGGTGGACCTCCTGATGGCACTGGTATTTCTGGCCACTGTGTGACACAGAGTGTTGGACTGGATGGGCCGTTGGCCTGATCCAACATTGGCGTCTCTTATGTTCTTATGTTCTTATGTTCTTAAGGCTACCCTCCAGCACAAAGAGCACCCATTGAGGTTTTGCTCTCTAAATCGGTTTCAGATCTGGCGCTGAGCACCCTCAACTGAGGAACCAGAGGGATCGTAGTTCCGTAACAGGATCCAACTCTGCAGTTCCAAGGTCTGCCTGGGCCAGTCAGTGTTGGCGAAGTCTGTTCCAGTCTAGTTTTAATTGACATTATGCAGACGCGCAGAGGGAATTTCATATCTGTGTGTGATATTCAGACTTCCTTGTGTCCCTGGCTGACCTTCAACTTACAACATCTTCTGGGTGTGGAACATGGGTCACTGGGGGTGGGTGGGGGGATAGTTGTGACTTTCCTGCATTGTGCAGGGGGTTGCACTAAATGACCCTGGAGGCAGGGCTATTTTGGGGCAGGAACGCGCAGGAACGGAGTTCCGGCTGGCTCCTGAGCTGGTCACACCCGGCAGGAACTCATTAGCATAATAGGCCACACCCAACAGCAGAAACTCATTAGGACTGGCTACATTAGGGGTGTGTGGCCTAACATGCAAAGGAGTTCCTGCTACAAAAAAGGCCCTGGGCTTTGACAACAAACAAGGTAAACAGAATAAGAAGCAAAAGGTGGGTGTGGCTGGATGAGCACACTTCTGGTAACATGGGGGTGTGGCCTAATGTGTTAATGAGCTGTGCTGTCAGGGTGTGGCCTATTATGCTAATGAGTTCCTGCTGTTGGGTGTGGCCTATTATGCTAACGAGTTCCTGCTGGGCTTTTTCTAGAAAAAGAGCCCTGCCTGGAGGTACCTTCCAACTCTGTGATTCTAACACACAGTTTCTGGGTAGGGCTATTTCTCCCCCGCCCCGTTTTTCCTTCCTTTCCGCCTTCTTGTATCTGCTTCTTCCTTGACTCCTCGGCTACCCTGACTCTCCACCTCACTGGCCCACCTGGACCACCTTATTTTAATGGTAAATCTCAGTGGCTTTGAAGGACCCCCCCCCCTGCTCCCTACCCCTCACAGTGATATCAATAGAAAAAAAATCTTTCCCAGGTTTGGGTCATTCCGTAGGCCATTTAAACCCAGTTGAACTGAACCTCTCAGTTCAGAGGTTCCCCTCAATGCCTACTTTTAAAAAGAAATGGGTTGGAAGTCATGAAAATATCTCTGAACATATGTGGCGTGTCACTGCTGAAAAGACACGGCCTGTCCTCCCATCTACCCACGCAGCATCAACCAGCTGTCTTGCACAACCAGGTAGGGAAGGGCTGTGGCTCATTGGCAGAGCATCGGCTTGGCATGCAGAAGGGCCCAGGTTCAATCCCCGGCATCGCCAGCGAAAAGAATCAGGTAGGAGGTGATGTGAAATAGCTCCGCCTGAGACCCTGGAGAGCCGCTGCCAGTCTAAGCAGACAATACTGACTTTTTAAAAAAAAGATTTAAAGATTTTTATTGTTTGTAGACAAAAGGTTAACAGTAAAAGCGAGAACAGTGTAAAATTATGCTTAAATACACACATCTTAACATATGTAAATTTTGCACATTTTCAAGTAATCATGTTCAGAACTGCTTCTTTTTAGAGCTTTGGACAACTTACATTGTAACAAATCTCAAAACTTGTTGTTGTCCGGTATCTAATATATATAAAATAAAATAATAATGATAATGATAAAAGTATAATGTTAAAACATATATACAGTGAAGTAGCTAAACAAGGAAAATAAATAATAATAATAACGGTGCAACATACATTTGAAAAACACACTACAGGAATTAAGGATAATGTTACCATATTTGTGTAAAGAAGATATGTATTCATGAGCCTTCGGTTCAATAGGGAAAAAAACCCTTGTTAAATCCACTTTGAGGGACTGGTGATCTGATTTGGCACAAGCCAGCTTCATGTCACGCCAGTTAACAGACTCCTGCCAACGAGTTTATAGAAACTGAAGATTTCTCTCTTGGGAACGTGGAAGGCCCACTTGGCACACAAGGGCACACCACAGCCCTATGAAGAGCACTCTGGGCACAGAGCAGGGAGGGGGAGGTAGCTGAATTTCCTGCATTGTGCAGGGAGTTGGACTAGATGATCCTTGGGGTTGGACTACATGACCCTTGGAGTCCCTTCCCCCTCGGTATTTCTATGGTACGTGGACATTTCCCCTGGGGAATTTTTTAAAATGTATGCGGAGCTCCGTTAACATTAAGTCTCCTGTTGCCTGCACTTGGGACATGACCTTTCCTACCCGCTGCCTCTGCTCTCCCTTCCCAGAATTCTTTCCTCCTTGTTCTTGTGTCTTCTGGGGGGGGGGGGACTGTAGTGGAGAAGCGGTAGCCATTTCCCCCTCCTTCTCACATTCCCTTTCCTCTGGCCGGGGGAGGGGGTGGCCTTCCGATTTTGCATGCCAGCATCCGAGCCTTTTGTATTCAACCTGTTTCCGACTTGGAGCTAACCGTCTTTCTCTTGTTACTCAGCCGGTCCAGGAAGGCCACCGTCCAAGGTGGATCTTGGAGGAAGCCGTATGGTAAACCCTGCCCGTTCTAAAGCCCGGGCGCTTCACCCTATCAACCCGCCACGTTTTGGCATTTTCAGAACGCTAACCTTCCATGGCACTTCCCTGACACATCCGAACTAACCCCAAACTCTGGCACTTATCTACATGCCGCCGCCATCTTCCCGCTTCTTTTCCCCTGCCAAGGGACTGAACACTCTGTTTTGGTTGTTTTTGCTATGAAAATGCAAGGGGGAAAAAACCCTTTATTTCCTCTGGACTCCCTTCTCTGACTCGTTCAGAAAGAACTTTTCTTCCCAGATTGATCTTTTCTTGGCTTTTCCCCTTCTTGCAGCAACCAAAGTATTCCAGGGAATTCTCATATTGGAAGAAGTGGAAGGCCAAGAGCTCTTCTACACGCCGGAGATGGCCGACCCCAAATCGGAACTCTTCGGGGAGACTGCCAGGAGCATTGAAAGCGCGGTGAGCACCGGTGCAACAGTGCAGGAGATGCGGGCACCTTAAACATTGCCCTGATGATTAGGGTTGCCAAAGAGAGCCCAAAATGGGTAATAGGTCAGCATACACTTCAGGTGGGTAGCCGGTCCGCAGTAGCAGAGCAAGATTTGAACCCAGTACCACCTTAAAGACCAATGAGATTTCTGGGGGTGTCAGCTGATGTGGCGTGATGTGGTCCGTGGGGTCGCGAAGAGTCAGACTCGACCGTGCGGCTGAACGACAACAACAACAGAGCTTTCCAGAGTCAGAGTTTGTGCCTCTTTTTGTCGAGAGCAGTGTTCCCTCTAAGCTGAGTTAGTGTGAGCTAGCTCACAGTTATTTAGCCTCCAGCTCACACATTTTTGTCTTAGCTCAGGAAGGAGGGCTCCAGAGCAAGCTAATTTATGCAGTAGGCAAATTGCTCACTCACAACTTTAATGCCAGTAGCTCACAAAGCAGAATTTTTGCTCACAAGACTCCACAGCTTAGAGGGAGCATTGGTCAAGGGGGCAGAAAAGACTGTCCTGCCGCCCCCTTTGGCTGAGCATCTCTCCTCTTGGAATGCTTTCCTGAAGCAACTGCTCATACCAGTTGGTCTGCTTCCGGGCAGATCCGGAGCGGTAGAGGAAGCTGTGGAAATCCACCATAAAAGTACTCCTTTAAACCTTTTTTCCCTTTATGCGTTCTCTCCCCCCTCCTGGATCTCAGCTGGATGAGCTCTTCCGCAATTCTGACGTCAAGAAGGACTTCAAGAGCATCCGGGTGCGAGATCTGGGCCAGAGCAATGCAGTGCGCATCATCGTCGAATCCCACTTCGACCCAGGTGAGCCATCCCCTCCCCCTACGCCAAACTCCATTGTGGGCAGAACGGTCTGGACTGACCCAAACAGCTGCTCTCTGCTTCCTCCCGTTCTGGGACATTTCATCAAGGCTGTGTGTATGGTCACAGTTCCACAGAAACTCAGAAAACCCACAGATGGTGCTGCGGAGTCCTGGATTCTGCTTCCTGAAAAACCATAGCAAGTTCCTAGCCCCTATGATTGCAACAAAATAAATCTTCATAGAAGCATAGAGTTGGAAGGGGCCCTAGAGGCCATCTAGTCCAACCCTCTGCCCAATGCAGGCCCAGCCTAGAGCCTCCCTGACAAGTGTTTGTCCAGCTGCTGCTTAAAACTGCCAGTGAGAGGGAGCTCACCACCTCCTTCGAGGCAGCCGATTCCAGCTGCTGCACAAGCCTTCCTGTAAAAAAGCTGTTCCTAATATCCAGCCGCTGCCTTCCCGCCCTTAATTTAAACCCACGATTGCGAGTCCTGTCCTCTGCTGAAAGTATGTGAGCAGTTCTTTCTAAATCTCACACATCAAAAGGGCATCTTAACAAACCAAATTAGCGGAATGGGTGTAAGTCGTAAAATGGTACTTTTCTTGATGCTCGATCCTAGATTCTGACTGCAACAACATTTTCACATTAGCGACTGGTGAGGAGGTTAATGATACAAGCATAATCCCAGAAGCTCATGTTAGCAAAGATAAAAAATGTATTCTGCTGCTGGCTGTAGAAAGGGGGGTGGGGAATTGGGGGAAGGGGGGGATTCTAGGACTGCCGGTGACCAGTGTTCCCTCTAAGCTGAGTAAGTGTGAGCTAGCTCACAGTTCTTTAGCCTCCGGCTCACACATTTTTGTCTTAGCTCAGGAATGATGGCTCCAGAGCAAAGTAATTTATGCAGTAGCCAAATTGCTCGCTCACAACTTCAATGCTAGTAGCTCAGAAAGTAGAATTTTTGCTCACAAGTCTCCACAGCTTAGAAGGAACATTGCCGGTGACCCCTGATCAGGTAAATATGATTTGCTTTGACGTGTTGTTTTGGATGGGGTGCGTCTGAGGAAATCTTTTCCCCGGGGAGGCCCCCTGGCACGGTCTGCAACTCTCCAGGCTCTCGGGCAAAGAGGGGACTTCCCAGTCCTGCTGCCTGGGTATCCTTTGAACCCAGGTGACCTTGGGCCGTTCACCGTCTCTCGGCCTAGCCTACCTTACAGGGCTGTTGTGAAGGTGGAACCGGGGAAGGGAGAGCCATGTATCTTGCCCTGAGCTCCTTAGAGGGAAGGGAGAGGGAAACTGTGCAAGGCAGATAGATGGGCCACCCAGGAAGTTTCTTGGCCTGAGCAGGGGTTTGAGCCCGGGCCTCCCTAGCCCACTTCACCTTTACGCCATGCCTATCCGTGCCATTGAATCAGCTGGTGAGGCCCAGACAGGGCGAAAACGCTGATTGCAAAAAAGGCCCGCTGCAAGCCCCCAGGTTCCTACAAGATGCAAGCCCCTAAGGCCCTCTTACCCCCCTCTCCCATTTTCTTAATAAAAACCAGCCCTTCCTCTCCAGGTAGGTCTTTTATTCTTCAAAATGTAGCAGGCATGGCAGAAGAAAGGACCGCAGGTGGAACGGGGTTCGTCTTGGATTTGCAATTGTTGTTCTTTCCCGCCCCTGTATGAGATGGGGGATGAAAGGGGTTGATTCTCGGGGAGGGCGTGAAAAGCGGGAAGACAGTTCTGAGCTTCCGCAGCCTCATTCTCACCATTCCTCCCTCCCTCCCTTTTGCAGCCACCTCCTACACAGCCGCCGACATCCAGAGGGCCCTTCTGAAGCAGATCAAAGCCTCCAAGAAGAAGACCATCTTAGTGAAAAAGCCGCAGCAGGAGAACATCCGATTCATGGACTTCGGTGCGCCTTCCCTCATGTGCTTCTTCCTTCTTCCCCCATTCTGCCTCGGCTGTACTTTTTCCCCCTTTTCTTGTTTTCTTCTGCCCATCAAAGGAGGACTCTGCCTGGCTCCCAGCCAGTCTGGAGCCTTTCAAAAACCTCTCCTTTGCGGCATTTTCCCTTCCCTCCTTCCCGAGCTCGAGAGCGCTTATGAAGAGACAGTGATGTTTCCATTTGTAAGCAAGGCAAGTTTCCGTTCCATCGAGGAGTGGTCTGGGGAGGTTCTGCTTTCTCAGGACTTTGCCGCTACCCCCATTTGTTTCGGACAGGTTGAGGGAAGCACGCTGTGCATCACTGAAAATGGTGTCAGCGGTGTCACCCTCTTGGTCTGCAGTAGATCAGTGAGATTCGAATCCAGGAGCAATTCGGAGACCAACGGGGTTTTTGGGGTATCTAACAAAGGGAGCTTGGACCCTCCAGAGCTGAGACACTGGAAATATGGGTGGGTGGGTGTGGGTGTGTTTTTGTTTTTTGTATTTTTCGTATGTGCATGAATGTTTGTGGGTGTGCGTGCACCTGGAAGTCGTGGCGACCTCTGCTGACTGACCCCTACTGGGGGCCTGGAGGCTGAATAAGGTGGCTGGATAAAGCCTGCCCCCACCTCCCGACTGCTGGTATTCCTTGGGGGTCTCCCATCCAGGTACTTGCCAGAGTTGACCCTGCTTCGCTTCCGAGATCTGACGAGACCGGGCTTGCCTGGGCCTATCCAAATCAGGGCGAAATCTTGTTGGTTTTTAAGGTGCTGCTGGATTCGAATCTAGTTATTCACTCTATACCAGTGTTCCCCAAATTTTTGACTTCCGGCTGGGTCTCAGATGGATAGCACCCCACCGAGCCTGTTCCCCTGTCACATTTGATGGCTGTCTTGTGAAGCTGCCGAACACTGAGATGAGCCATCAGTCCATCTAGTCTGGTATTGCTTCCTTGGGCTCTGTTGGGTCTCTGGCAGAGAAAGCTCTTTCCCAAAATCAATTTTTGACCAGATTTAACTAGGGATTCCTAGTTAACCCTCCTGTGCTTAGTTTTGCAGGGTCGCCACATTGTTCTGCGGTAGAACAGCTGGATTTGAATCCAGAAGCACCTTGGGAGACCGGCAAGATTTTCAGAGTAGATAAGATTTTGAGAGTCAGCGCTCCCTTTGAATCTTGAACGCTTATGCAGAGGTGTCAAACTCGTTTGTTACGAAGGCCAGATCTGACATAAAAATGTCAGTTTGTCAGGCCAGCCATGTGTATCATAAAATGTAATGCCAGGTACCGTAGATATAAACTTCATAAAGGACACAGTCAAATTCAATTAACGATGCAATTTTTTTTACTCAAAATACAAACATGCTTAAAACATTAACACTCTTATAGTATTTCCCCACAGTATCTCCCTGTCCCCCGCCTTTCCACTTCCACTGCCTGTTACGCATTAGCACTGGGACAGTATGCAGGGACATAATGCACAGCCTCTGTCATCTGGCAGTAAAGATAATCAGTTGCTCGTGGGCCGTTTAAGAGCCCTGTGTGGGCCAGTCCCAGCCCACAGACCATTTGCTGAACAACTCTAACAGCTAGCATGAAAACCTTGTTGGTCTCCAAATTGCTGCTGGACCTGAATCTACTTGTTCCCCTGCGCTTAGTTTGCAAGAAGGATCTGTCACGTAAGCTGGAAGCACACAGTTTTTGGCTGTGACGATGTTCACAGATAGAGGGTGTTTGGAGTTATTAGTGGTCAGGTTATTAGTGGTCCAGGAAGTTTCAAACTCAGATGTCTGCAGGTTCAGACCTGCAAACCTCCCACTGCCCCAACAGCATCACTATTCCCAGTATGCATTAAGCACCCCCCCAAAAAAAATCAAAGACAGCATGAGAGAATTGTAGGTTTCCTTCCTTTACCTTGTCAAGGTTAAAGTAACTCACCAAGAGTGCCTTGCCTTGAATGCCTGTCCCATACCTCCTGGAATGGCGCTACTTTGGGTGTGCCTCCAGTGGTCAGGAGTTCCACAGTTGCAATCCAGCCGCCGGAAACTCCCTTTTTCGTTTCTCCTAGACTGGATCCCCCAGCTGTTCACCACCACCACCACTACCACAACAGCCACCACCATGGCCCTGCCCGCTGCCACCACCCGCCGGTTCACCACCACTGCAGCCCCCCAGGCGCTCTACCCAGGGAGGCCCACCAGTAAACCCCCCGGGGCAGCCACCACCAGGAGACCGGTCTTCACCATGCCAGCCACAACTGCCAGGAAGAAGCCCACGCGCCCGTCCCCCACGAAGAAGCCGGCCCGGCCTTGCGACTCTCACCCTTGCCTGCATGGCGGCTCCTGCGAGGACGACGGCCAGGACTTCACCTGCAGTTGCCCAGCTGGGAAGGGGGGAGCGGTTTGCGAAAAATGTAAGTGCTTGCCAGCAGTGTTCCCTCTAAAGTTGTGAGTGAGCGATTGGGCTACTGCATAAATTAGTCTGCTCTGGAGCCCTCCATCCTGAGCGAGGACAAAAATGTGTGAGCCAGAGGCTAAAAAACTGTGGGCTAGCTCATACTAACTCAGCTTAATGCCAGTAGCTCACAAAGTAGAATTTTTGCTCACAAGACTCCAGAGCTTAGAGGGAACATTGCCTGCCGGAGCTGAAAATGTCCCGTTATTGGATGAACGTCGCAGGCGCAATTGAAGCAGGCACTTTGTGCTAGGAGGGGCCTTTGCCTGTGCAGTGCGACACCATGACCGTTTGTAAACAGATGGGCAAACAGGAGAGGACAGGAACCTTCTGGCTCAGTTTTCGAAAGATCAAATGGTTATTTTGCCTGCAAGACAGCTGTTTCAGAAACAGCTTATGCCACAACATGATAAAGGAAGCGGAATCTCCCGGGGGTCGAGGGCTTCCCTCTTGGGTCCAGTGTTCCCTCTAAGCTGAGGTAGTGTGAGCTAGCTCACAGTTTTTTAGCCTCCAGCTCACACATTTTTGTCTCAGCTCAGGAAGGAGGGCTCCAGAGCAAATGTATGCAGTAGCCAATTCACTCGCTCACTTTAATGCCAGTAACTTACGAAGTAGAATTTTTGCTTCCAAGACTCCCAACAGCTTAGAGGGAGCCTTGCTTGGGTCCCCAACGTGGTACCTGATACCTTTTCTGGTGCCCACCAAGTGGTTTTAGACAGTGGGCAGGGCCGGGTGGAGCTTTTGCCTAGGAAGGCTTCTGATTGGCCATTGAAGATTTGATTGGCTGTGCAGATTTTTTTTTAAGGTTGCTTTGGGAACAGCTGCCACCACAGTACTGTGTAACTGAAGATAAGTTGTGGGAGCCATTTGTGGCTGGCTCCTGTAGCAAACATTTGGGGCAGCCATTTTGTGGATGCGCCCCACCATGCTGTGTCAGAAACCAGAGGTACCCTCAGGTTCAAAACGGTTGGGGACCCCCGTGTTTACAGATTTGTCCATGATAAGCTACAGCTCATTGAGAGCCAGTTTGGCGTAGAGGTTAAGTGGGAGTTTGATTCCCCACTCCTCCACTTGCACCTGCTGGATGACCTTGGGCAAGCCATCATTCTGGCAGAGCTGTCATCTCAAGGACAGTTCTGGAAAGAGCTCTCTCGGCCCCACCTACCTCATGGGTTGTCTGTTGTGGGGAGGGGAAGGGAAAGGAGTTTGTAAGCCCCTCTGAGACTCCGAGTGAAGAGCGGGGTATAAATCCAATCTCCTCCTTCTTCTGAAAACTCTCAGTTTTATAGGAAGGGGCTACATCTCGTATGAGCGTTTTCTCTTTCCTTGCTCCCTTTCTCCACCCCTGCCCCCATTTTTTTAAATGTCTCTTCTCATTGTGAATATTTGCCTCTCTGCCCCATCCTCAACAGCCATCCGATACTTCATCCCTAGTTTTGGTGGGAAATCTTACTTGGCCTTCAAAATGATGAAGGCCTACCACACGGTGCGCATCGCCATGGAGTTCCGGGCCTCCGACCTCAGCGGGCTGCTCTTGTACAACGGACAGAACCGCGGCAAGGATTTCATCTCCCTGGCTCTGGTGAACGGCTTTGTGGAGCTCAGGTGAGCGTCGCTGTTGGCTTCTTGGCCCGTAGGAAGGTCAGTCGTGGGAGAAACAGCTGCCGGGGCTCAGGAGATTTGTCCACGAGCTTCTCTTTCCTCTGATGGTCAGTTGGTCCCAGAATCCATCAGCGGATCTGATGCTGAGGGACATTTCCGCTAATTTGTACAGCAAACTGTTGTGCTTGCTAATTAGCGTGGTGTATTGCAGGTCTTTTTGTTTGGTTATTAGAAAATTACAAAAACTATACAGTGTGCACTCACAATTAAGTTCGCACCAACATTAACACCTCTTGTTCAAAGCTCTCTAAAGGATTGATTTTGTTCCAGAATTGAACAAAGGTTGCCAATGTTGTATAGCTATTTCTTCTGAGTGTAATTTCCCATCTCACTGATGGGTCTGCGATTTGGTCATTATTGTCATACTCTGAACTCTGCATTAATCAATTCCCAGTCATGTCTTTTGCTTCCAAGGCAAAGCCAACAAAATTCAGGCAGTGACCAACAGATTTCCCTGCTTTTCCCACAAAGACAACATGTAACTAACTTGTACATGTGCCCCAGAGGTACAACGCGGGACTGTAAGGAACTGAATAGTCAGCTATTTATTGATTTTATTTATTTAAAACATTTTGATCCCATATTTCCTTTCAAAAGAGTTCTCTGGAGTGGTTTGCAAGGAGAAATGTTTCAGAATAAGAGCAAAGTATATGCTGGCAAAACAACAGAGAGCCAGTTTGGTGTAGTAGTTCGGAGTGCAGACTCTAATCTGGGAGAACCGGTTTTCATTCCCCACTCCTCCACATGCAGCTGCTGGTGTGACCCTGGGTCAATCACAAGTTCTCTCAGAGCTGTTCTCTCAAGGGCAGTCCTGGAAAGAGCTCTCTCAGTCCCACCTACCTCACAGGGTGTCTGTTGTGGAGAGGGGAAGGGAAAGGAGGTTGTAAGCCTCTCTGAGACTCCTTCAGGTAGTGAAGGGCGGGGTTTAAATCCAATCTCTTCTTCCTCTTCTAGTCCATCTAGTCCAACCCCCTGCTCAATGCAGAGTCAGCCTAAAGCATCCCAGACGAGCGTTCATCCAGCCGCTACTTGAAGACCACCCATGAGGGGGAGCTCACCACCTCCCTAGCCAACCAAAAGTTTTCCTAATATCCAGCTGGTGTCTTTCCACCTGTAATTTAAACCCATTATTTTGAGTCCTGTCCTCGGCAGCCAACAGGAACAGCTTCGTGTGTCGTCGTCCCCCCCCCAACTTCGTCCAGACTGAACATCCTCAAGTCCCTCAGAAGAAACTGAACAGCCCGTGCCTTTGTTTCCTCTCATGCTTATTAAGCTCGAAGCTCTCTTTTACCTCCGCTTGCAACAGTCAAGAATCTCGGAATAAGGCTCTGTTTTCCCCAACATAGTGGCAGTTTGATCCTCAGAGGTCTTTCTTTTTTTAAGAGGGATGTCAGTCTCTGGACAACATTGAGATGGGGAAAGGCCAGGCGTCAGACCATGGAGAGAAGGATTTAGCCATGTGTCTTCCGGAGACTGCTTCATCCCTGCCTTAGATTTTACTGTGCTTCCGACTGTGTGGCCTTGATGATCAGGAGCGGTGTGGCTGTTCTTGGGAAGGAGCATTCCCAAGACGGGGATGGGGGGGGGTAATACTTCTGGCTTGGAGACCGAGCAGTCTAATTCCAGCTTCCTAGGATGTTGTAAACATTGGCAGAAATGGACACAGAGAAGCAACACGAGTAACTTTAACCTTGAAAAAACCACTACCACCAATGAGCTTTGCTTGTTTTTTGTGCATTTCAATAGAACCGTCAACATTCTCTCTTTTTTTACCACTCTCTCTTCCATCCAGGTTCAACACCGGTTCCGGGACTGGTGTGATTACTAGCAGAGTGCCCATTGAGCCCGGCAGGTGGCACCAACTCGTGGTGAACCGGAACCGACGAAATGGCATGCTGTCCGTTGACGGGGAGCCGCACGTGAACGGGGAGAGCCCCAGTGGTACCGACGGGCTGAACCTCGACACTGACCTCTTTGTCGGAGGGGCACCAGAAGACCAGATCACTGTGTGAGTAATAAATGGGGGCATACCTTTTCTGGCTAGTGCATCCTGAAACCTGTGTGATAGATGGCTGAGGAAAATCTACTTTTGCCTCTTTGGAGAAAGGCAAACTGAAACAGACGGGAAACACAGTGTAAGAGCTAAATACACCACTGTGTAAAAAGGTTTTGCCAAACATCAGATAAATCTTGTTGCACCGTTCAATAAATGTATGTTATATTTAAAAAAGGCTTGTTTATTACTTCTTGAAAATGGCAGCTAATCAGCTCAGTAAATATACAAGCAATGTTGCAGCCAACCATCAACCAACCGTATAATATGAAAACTTCATAGAAAACGCAGCTCCGCAGCAATTATATATCTAGCCTTGAAGTCCGACAATCTCGGCTCCGCTGTGCAACTCTGCAGCGAGAGACCCGGCAAACTTGGCAACGGGAAAAGCCACCCAAAGTCCCTCGTTTCGGCTGCAGCCTTTATCACAAGCCAAAACGCGTCTTCAGATAACAGGAGAAAAACTTCACAAAAGTTGGCATAAAACTTTTTGTAAATTTTAAAGCACGTATCACGTTGTTAATGTTCAACCATTGGACAGCAGCCCTTCAAGGTTTAATTACTGGCAAGCGGATGCGTATAATTGCTGCTGAGCTGATTAGCTACTTTTTCTGTGAAGTTTTCATATTATAATGGTTGGTTGATGGTTGGTTGCAACATCGTTTGTACATTTACTGAGCTAATTAGCCGCCATCTTCAAGAAGTAATAAACAAATCTTTTTTATATAACGTACATTCTTTGGAGAGAGGGATGGTAACTGGCTTGCTCTTTCGGGCTTCTCTCTCTGGCTGAGGGCAGAACACTGATCCTGCAAAGCCAGAAGTCAGAGTTGTGGGTAGCTGACAGAACAAAGTTCGACTCCAGCAACACTTTAAAGACCTTCACTGTTGCTCCCTAGAGCAGGGGTGTCGAACTCTTTTGTTACGAGGGCCGGATCTGACATAAATGAGACCTTGTTGGGCCGGGCCATGTGTGTGTCATAAAATGTAATGCCAGGGAGCGGAGATATAAACTTTATAAAGGCCACAAACATAAAGGGGTGGGGTTTTTTTTACATAAAATAAAAACATGCTTAAAACATTGGCAGTCTTGCAATATTTTGTTTATTTAACAGTGTCTGATAACTGACACCTCTTGCTCTGAATTATTGCATCAAATGGCTGTGCTGTTGCAATATTTTTATTATAATCTATTTATTAGATTTTTAGACAAACAGACGGG